CTCTCTCTCTCTCTCTCTCTCTCTCTCTCTCTCTCTCTCTCTCTCTCAGTTGAAGAATCCTATATATGTAGTAATTGGAGAAGAAAACAATTCCCGGAGTGTGTTCCATCCTGCCAGTCCAGTAAATCCAGAGTGAATATGTCAGAGTGGCTATGAGTACAGGTCTGGGACTCTGAAGATCTGCCTTCTAATCTCCACTTGGCCATGCAGTCAACTGGGTGACTTTGGACCAGTCACAGACTCTCAGAGAAGCCTACTTTACAAGGTTGTTGTGGGGATAAGATTGAGAGCAGGAGGAGGAGAATGATGAAAGCCATTTGAGTTTATTGTAAGAAAACTGAGAGATATAACTCTAATACATTAATAAAACTAAGTTTACTTCTCATTGACTTAGCACAAGCACGTATGCACTTTCATAGAAATGAGGAATTTGTTATATATTCAGCACGGCTGCCTATTTGCAACACATTGCAACACATTCTTCAGAAGTGTTGCATTTTTTATCTTTCCATGTGCAGTGGAGTAGAAATAGATGATTGCACACATATATTGGCTTCTTTGGGCTATGACAATAATACTTTGCTGGGCTTCATTTTATCCCAGGAACTAATGACCCAGTAAGAGTTTTTCAGCTTTATCTAGGATACAATTGCATAGAAAGCAATCAGTCTGGAATCAGGGTCTAATACTGTAGCATTTAATAGAGTACTGCTATCTTATGTTCGGGCAATAGGAAAAGCAGTAGCTGGATACTCATCAATTATCAACAGCCTCAGATCAAACAGGGTAAGATTCGGAATGGAAAAGGAACTGTCAGTTCTAGCTTCACACTTATTTTGATTAGAATAAAATTAGTTACCTCAGTTAGTTTTCCAGTCTTGGAAATAATACTGTTTAGTTCTTTAAGAAATGAGTCTACAGAGAACTTATGAACCTTGGATTTACCCACCTTTTTGTTTAACATCCTCCTTTTTGTTTTTGTGGTTGTAGCGAATACAAAGGAAAAGAGGAGACTCACTAAGCGTAGTACGGGCCATCATATATTTCCAGCAGGCTGTCTCCCAAGTTTTGAATGTTTAGTTTAGACTCATATGATAGGTGGGTACCACATTGCACATGTCTCCTACACACTCATATCATGTATTAAGGCTGTAATTCTATACCTTGTGAGCTGGGACTCATTTTCATCAAAATCAATGGTTTCATTTTACTTTATTTTTAGACAGGAATAGGATTGCAAGGTTACAGAATTTTTCTCCCCATGCTAACTACAAGCTGGCTGCAATTAACCAAGAAGAAAATGAGCAACCAAAGCTTTGTGACTGAGTTCCAACTCTTAGGAGTTGCACATATTATACTTTTTTTGGGTTTTTGCTGATCTTTCTGGCAGCCCTGATTGGGAATCTTCTCATGATGATCGTTGTAGCCCTTAACCGACCTCTTCAAACCCCAATGTATTTTTCCTTGTTAATTTAAATGTAGTTGACCTTGGTTTCATATCTGTCACTGTTCCCAAAGCCATGGCTAACTCTCTGATGAAAACTAGGAAGATTTCATATTATGGATGTGTGGCACAGGTGTTCTTCTTCTTTTGGGCGGTATTATATTCAATGGTTCCTCCCTTCATGAATCCTATCATATACAGCATGAGGAACAAAGAGATTGCAGCAGCACTTTGGAAGCTTTCACACAGAAAACAAAACCTGGTTTCTACATAGAAACTTGAGTTCAGGTACTTAAGTCCTAATCCAGTTAAATATGATTAAGTCCAGTTCTACATAATGGAACAAGTTAGAAGTAGCTAAAGTCATGTGAGCTTTCAGTGGGCTTTTGGACCAAACTAGACTGATGGCATTGACACAATTAGCTGATATGAAATGACTTTTCAGACTAAGAGTCCAAATGTGCAGGACTCAGTCTGGATCACAAACCTGTCCAATATTGGAGGAAATTAACCCTTTGCCATGGCTTGGGGATGGTCCTAATCTGGACCAATATCTACAACTGCCTTCAGCGCTGGAAGAAAAACTTCCATTTGTGCCAATGGTAATGTTTCTTTGAATGGAGAGAGAGAGAGAGAGAGAGAGAGAGACCCCACCCCCAGTTCTGACTGGGACCATAGCAAGGGGAAAAAAGTCAAAGTGCTACTGTAACTCTGCAATAGTCCTGATGTGAACTGGAAGCAACAACCTGCCTCTCACTTTAAAAAAGTCATTCATTAGCCAACCATTCATTAAGGTTGTTGCTGTGAGAATAAAATAGAGTAGAGGAGGACTATGTGAGCTACCTTGGATTTCTCATAAGGGAAAAAAAGGTAGGATATAAATGCAATGTTGTCATCATCATCATTGTCATCATCAATAATAACAATAACACCTCAAAACCTCATTCAGTTTCTCTGCCCATAAGCATCTGAATCTGGAGGATTATAACCTTCCTATAAAGGGTGGAAGGAGTGTGGCGTGGAGGTCTCCTCCATGTTCTTCCCTTCCTGCCAAAGACCTAGCCGGTTGATTTTGGCCATCCAAGCCTTTTACCCTGGAGCATGAGAGCACAGCCAGGGATGTAGCTGGAAAACTAAGTATTGTGACCAAGTCTCCTCTTCTTCTTCTGCCTTCCAGAACACTCACAA